ACACTTATAAGCCCTGTTTGAAAATAACTATTGCAATGAGATATAGCCAATAAAGAAGCGAATTAAAATAAATACTCAGGAATTAAGAGGGCATTGTAAAAAAATGAATGGTCTAATGAAAAAAAAAAAAAAAAAAAAGACAGTTTTCCTTCTGTCCTTACACCACAATTAATCAACACAGAAGATTTCTGTAACCAAATGTTTATTTTAATTATTTTTATTTTTAGGAATGGGGTCTTACTGTCACCCTGGCTGGAGTGCAGTGGTGCCATCATAGCTCATTGCAGCCTTGAATTCCTGGCCTCACGTCATCCTCCTGCCTCAGCATCCTGATTCGTTGGGATTACAGGCAAGATCTGAAACTGCCTTTACAAAATTATAATTGAGGAAATTATGACAGTGAAAGGGATCAGACCTAACCAAACTCATCTTCCTTCTAACCTCTAAACTGTCCTTGTTCATTCTTGGTATGGTAGGTCAAACTAGCCCTGGGAAGGAATTTAGTTTTATAGATTAAACTCTGAAACAAAATTGATAATAGCTCTTTCCTAAAAAACCCCTTCTTGTCTGGGGACCAGTCTGCCTTTGTAAGACTAACGAATTAGCTACCAGATGAGAAATTATGATTTAGGAACCATATGGCCTCTGGCTGGAAGAGTTTGAACCTCCCCAAATTGCTCCTGGGAATAACATCACCATTACAAAACCTAAGATTAGTGCTTGAGATATTTTGCAGACCCTGCATCCAGATGCAGCAAATGACACCACCCAGACAGATAATCTGGCCCAACCAGTTCTGTAATCCCACCCAGGAATGTAAATTAGCAAGCAGAACTCACTTCAGCCCCCTATGATTTCATCTTTAACCCGACCAATCAGCACTCCCCACTTTCCGAGCCCATATGAGGCACATTATCCTTAAAAACTCAGAGCCCTGAATGCTTGGGGAGAAATAATAAAACTCCAGTCTCCCACGTAGCCAACTCTGTGTGAATTACTCTTTCTCCTTTGCAATTCCCCTGTCTTGATAAATTCCCGTGTCTTGATAAATCGGCTCTATCTAGGCAGTGGGCAAGGTGAACCCACTGGGTGGTTACAGAGCCACCATACTCTCTGACCAAATGTTCTGGGGTTTTCCTACAAACACCAAGCAAGCAATCAATTCTGCAGCAACACCAGCTAAGTGTTCTCTAATTCAGTTCAATTTGGACACTATCTACCTGGATATGGGGTCAGATCCCACAGGTTGAGGACTCAATTCACCAGACTGCACCATACTTCTGATGCCAATCACAAGTCCCAGGTTGTTTTACCTGTGCTTCTGACCAACCAGCTATAAAATCAGGGATCCCAAGCTCCCTTCTTGGGTTAAATTATTTACTAGAGTGGCAAACTCTGCCACTGAACTCAGGGAAACATGTTCTTACATTTACCAGTTTATTATAAAGGATATTACAAAAGATACAGATGAAGAGATGCATAAGGCAAGGCAAGTAGGAGGAGGAGGAGCAGAGAGCTTCCATGCCCTCTCTGGGCACACCATTGTCCAGGAACCTCCATATGTCAAGCTATCTGGAAGCGCTCCAAACTCCATCCTTTGGGGTTTTAATGGAGGCTTCATTAAGTAGGCATAACTGATTAAACCATCAGCCAATGGTGATCAATGTAACTTTCAGTCCTCCTCTCCTCCCCAAAGTTTGGGTGTGGGGCTGAAAATTGCAACTCTAGCCGGGCGCGGTGGCTCAAGCCTGTTATCCCAGCACTTTGGGAGGCCGAGGCGGGTGGATCACGAGGTCAAGAGATTGAGACCATCCTGGTCAGCATGGTGAAACCCCGTCTCTACTAAAAATACAAAAAATTAGCTGGGCATGGTGGTGTGTGCCTGTAATCCCAGCTACTCAGGAGGCTGAGGCAGGAGAATTGCCTGAACCCAGGAGGCGGAGGCAGGAGAATTGCCTGAACCCAGGAGGCGGAGGTTGCGGTGAGCCGAGATCGCGCCATTGCACTCCAGCCTGGGTAACAAGAGCGAAACTCCGTCTCGGAAAAAAAAAAAAAAAATTGCAACTCTAATCCACAAGCTATCTACTCCTTTCCCACAGCAGTTAATTCATTAGCATATAAAAAGATATTACTTTGGAGACTTTAAATATTTTAAGATTTTAAAGATTTTAATGACACCAGGAAATGGTGACAAAGACCAACTATTTATTTCACAGTATTACAGATGGTAAGCACTGAATCAATTTAAATGTAGAAGTAAGATTAACTAGTAGTTATGGTTGTAGAAGAGAAAGTAAATGCTTTAAACCATGACAATCTAAAAATAATTATATTAGAAAAATTGGGCTGTGAGGAATAGTAAGCATAAATTGTAGTGGGAATCAGTATAAATTGTGCTAATTTACCTGTCTTTCACGATGGAATCAATGGATACCATCTAAAGTAGAAATATTAAACAGGGGACATTTAATAAATATTTTACATAATTTTTAAAATGACTCCAAATTCTTAATGTCTTTTGTAATCTTTTTTTCCTTAATTTTAGAGGGGGGATCTTTTAAAATTTCAGAGAAACACTTTTTCCATAACACATTTTATTGATCACAAAAATTCTGCATGCTTACTATAAGAAAAATTAACAACAGAGTAAAGCACAGAAAATAATAATCACCCATCTTCCACCACCCAAAGATAATTACTGCTAATGTTTTGTTGTATTGGTATATATTCTTCCAGTCTTATTTCTTGGCAAATTTTTTTTCTAATACAGTATGTTTTTCTAATACACTTCTCAAATTTTTCCTCTCATTCCATAGATGAAAAGGATTTATTTCTTTAAGGAAATCCTCCCCTCAAAAGAAGGCAAGAGCAGAAGGGTTCAGCATCTGAAACATAGGCCAGATCAGAGGAGAGGCCTCCTTTATAATATAACCCAGCTGAACTCAGTTTCTGGGAAAAGGGCTGCAGTGTTTCATCTCATTCACTGTTTTTTTTTTTTTTTTTTTGAGATAAAGTCTTGCTCTGTTGCCCAGGCTGGAGTGCAGTGGAGCGATTTTGGCTCATTGCAGCCTCTGCCTCCTGGTTTAGGTGACTCTCCTGCTTTAGCGTCCTGAGTTGGCTGGGACTACAAGTGCGTGCCACCATGCCCGGCTAATTTTTGTAATTTTGTAGAGACAAGGTTTTGCCACGTAGGCCAGGCTGGAACTCCTGACCTCAGCTGATCCACCCACTTCAGCCACCCAAAGTGCTGGGATTACAGGCCTGAGCCACCACACCTGGCCCTGATTTTTTTTTTTTTTTTTTTTTGAGACAGAATCTCGCTCTGTTGTGCAGGCTGGAGTAGAGTGGTGCAATTTTGGCTCACTGCATCCTCCACCTCCTGGATTCAAGCAATTCTCCCTGCCCCAGTCTCTCGAGTAGCTAGGATTACAGTTGCCTGCTACCATGCCTGGCTAATTTTTTTTTTCTTGTATTTTTAGTAGAGACAGGGTTTCGCTATGTTGGTCAGCCTGGTCTTGAACTCCTGACATTGTGATCCACCTGCCTTGGCCTCCCAAAGTGCTGGGATTACATGTGTGAACCACTGTGCCTGGCTCATTCATTGATTTTTTTCATCTAACAGTCATTAACTGAGCACCTACCTTGTTCCAGACATTGTACTAGATATTGGGAATACAAAGATGAAAGTAAGATATAGTCCCAGCCCGCCAGAAACTTACAGTTTAATGGAGGGGAGATATATGTGTAAGTGGAGAGTAACATACTGTGACTAGTGCTATCAGTGAGGTTAGCACTGTCTGCTACGGGAGAACCTAGAATTAACAGAATATGGTAACTGCCTGTGAGGGAAAGAGAGGTCAGTTTTCTGACTTAGGCAATGGTGGGATATGGTGCTGTTAATGAAGACAGGGTCAGAGGTAGAAGAGTAGGGTTTTTTTGTTGTTGTTGTTTGTTTCTTTTTTGAGATGGAGCCTCACTCTGTTGCCCAGGCTGGAGTTCAGTGGCACAGTCTCAGCTCACTGCAACCTCTGCCTTCCAGGTTCAAGTGATTCTCCTGCCTCAGCCTCCCGAGTAGCTGGGATTACAGGTGCTGACCACCAGAGCCAGCTAATTTTTGTATTTTTGGTAGAGACAGAGTTTTACCATGTTGGCCAGGCTGGTCTGGAATGCCTGACCTCAAGTGATCTGCCCGCCTCATCTTCCCAAAGTGCTGGGATTATAGGCGTGAGCTGCCGCACCCAGCCAGAAGAGTACCTTTGAAGGTTTGAAGATGAGTTTAGTTAGTTTTGGTCATCTCTTGGTTTCTAATAGGACTAGAAAGGCAGAGATAGTGCAAGCTCAGGGAGGGTCAGGGAGGTGTCATTTTCCAGTTATACAGATGTTGTACTGAACCGAGCATAGAAGGTCAACACCAAGACAAAAGTATTCCAAATTGCAGGGTCTTTATTGCCGGTGGCCATGGAGGACTTGTATCTCTCCAACCCGTGGCCCCGAAAGGAGGGTGTCAAGACCTTTTATACCCCTAAAACCACCTAAGGGGGTGAGGAGCGGGGATAGGGATGAGGGGTTTCAGACATTCTGAGGGCTAGTGGATTCTGTAAACACCTCCTGGGTGGAGATGAGGGTGAGGGGCTCCGGACATTCCAAGGGCCAGGGGACTTTTGTCACTCCGATTGTTACTTAAGTGGTTTACAGAAGTCAAGATAAATGTTAGTTTACACATTGTCTGGGTAGTGGTGGGAATTACAGACCTTAGTTACTTATTACAAGTCACAGGAGCCAAGATGGCATGGATTTGGACTTGGGCTTGCCTCTCACATTAGGGTCACAGAGAGCAGTTTCAATAGAAAGCCAAGGTATGGTTGAGCTATGCAGTTTTATGGGGCTTTTACCATGTCACACATATTGGGCTAAATATCTTTCAACAAAGAGCAAAAACATCTTGTCTCCAATAGTCAAAGCAACTGGGAATCTCTAAGTCAACTGAGTTATTGGAAAACTTCTCTAGTTTTTTTTTTTATGTTTGGACATCTTTGAGGTATAGAAGAAATAGTTTTTCGTTTTTTCAACCAAAACTCAGAGAACTCAAGAGTATATGGATTCTAAGTTAGAGTTCAGTGCCCTTACCCAGTGAGGCCAGCTCTGCCTCCTTATCTAGTGTCTCTTCCTTGTAGCGATCCCACTGAGTATAGGTCTGGAGGCCAGCATCCTTTTGTGATTCATTCACAGCCACATCCTGCAGCATCTTGAATTTCTGAAACAGAAATTGCTGCTCAGTAACCAGCCAATAGAAAGTTAATAACAGATACTCATACCTTCTCTTCTCTCTTTAAATCTCTATGACTTCTCATATAAACTTGGTCTCAGTAGATGGTCTTGCCTCTAATTTTAAAATGTGAGACCGTGTGGTGAAAATCACCTCACATTATCCTATCCTTTCAATGATTCTTTTTGTTTACTGTAGTTCTGCTCTTCCATTCTCTAGTATTTAATTCTTTAACTGAGTCCCTACTATGAGTCAGCAATTATACTAGGTGGTTAAAATACCATAATGAGGATGACAGTCTCTGTCCTTGAAGAGTCTGTGGTGGCAATTACAGACAATGCCAATTAAATGGGTTAAGTGCTCAGTAAGGGTAAGCACAGGGTGCTGTGGAACCTCATAGGAATGGGGTAAGCTGGAAATTTCCTAAAGGAGGTGGCTTCTAAGCTGAGGCCTAAAAGGCAATTGGAAATAAATGGACTAAAAGAAAAAGGACTTTTCAGACTGGGGTTACAGCATATACAAAGGCCAGGAGGTGCGAGAACCTATGATGAACTTATGAGTGTTCCACGTAACTGAAGCCCAGAGTTCAAGACTGCAAAAGAGAAAGCTGGTGCAGTAATGGTATAATTATGGACTTCCCTGTCAACCAGGCCAGGGGGTTAAAACTTTTTCATGAATGCAAAGGGCCACTGAAGCGGTTAAAGCATAATCTGACATAATCAGAATCATCTTTTTAAAAGATTGTTCTGGGAACACATCTTAGGACCTCCTGAGGCTGTGTCACAGAAAAAACTAAAAGAGTGTTCTGGTGCTCAATTACTGAAAAAAAAAAACAAAAAACTGTTGAATAAATGAAGAGTAGGTTAGCACTCTTCTCTCTTTCATTTGACTAAATATCCCTGAAAATCTTTTCTGTTCATGTTTTTTTTTTTTTTTTTTTGAGACACAATCTTTTTCTGTGGCCCAGGCTGGAGTACAATTGCACCATCTTAACTTGCTGCAAGTTCTGCCTCCCAGGTTCAAGTGATTCTTCTGCCTCAGCCTACTGAGTGGCGGGGATTACAGGCGTTGACCACCACGCCTGGCTAATTGTTGTATTTTTAGTAGAGACGGGGTTTTACCATGTTGGCTAGGGTGTCTCAAACTTCTGACCTCAGGTGATCTGCCTGCCTTGGCCTCCCAAAAGATTGGGATTATGGGCGTAAGCTGCCATGCCCGGCCCTCTTATTATCTATTTCTATCCATATGACCAGTTTTCATTTAACAAATAGATATCATGAATTTACTGGTGTTGACTGAATGTTTGTTATCCCCTGAAAATTTATATGTTGAAGCCTAATCTGAGATGTGATGTTATTAGGAGGTGGAGCCTTTGGCAGGTGGGAGAGCCCTCATGAATGGGATTAATGCCCTTATAAAAGAGGCCTAGAGAGCTCCCTGCCCTGTCTGCCATGTGAAGACACAATAAAAAGATGGCCTTCTATGAACCAAGCCCTCAACCAAACATAAAATCTGCTGGTACCTTGATCTTCAGTTCCTCATCCTGCAGAACTGTGAGAAACAAATTTCTTTGGTTTATAAACCACTTAGTCTATGGTATACTTATAGCAGCCTGAACAGATTAAGATACCTACCACGTCCAGACACTGTTCTGGGCCTTGGATACACTGGTGAACAAGATAATCCCTGCCCTCACGGGGCTTGTAATCTAGATTTTTAAAGACAGACATACAATAGATTAGTGCTACCTAAAATGTGACCTAGCTAGGCATGGTGGCTCACACCTGTAATTTCAGTACTGGGAGGCCAAGGTAGGAGCATCACTTGAGCCCAGGTGTTTGAGACCACCTTGGGCAACATAGTGAGACCTTGTCTCTTAAAAACAAAAAATTAGCCAGATGTAGTGGCATGTATTGGCTGGGGAGTCTCAGATGGCAGGATCACTTGAGCCTGGGAGGTCAAGGCTGCGGTGAGCCATGATCTCACCTCTGCTCTGTAGCCTGGGTGACAGAGCAAGACCCTATCTCAAATAATAATAATAAAATTAAATGAAATAAAATAAAACATGTTCTACACACCAGCAACATCAGCATCACCCAGAATCTTGGTAAAAATGTGATTTTCAAGCACTGTCCCAGACCTCTGAGTCGGAGTACCTCAGGGTAGGGTCCAGCAATTTGTGTTTAACAAACTCCAGGTGATTTTTATGGATGCTAAAATTTGAGACGCCCTGCTCTAGTCAACATAGCTTTTTTGAGGGACACGGTTCAACCCATAATAGCCATGTGTTATGTACTGTTCACCTAAGAACAAATCTATGCTTTGATGTCCTCCATTCCCTTCCCATATGCTATGCTGCTTCTATTCTGTACCTTTGGTCATGACTCTTCTATTTGTAATGCCCTTACTAGTCTCCTTCACCTATGTCTGGATTCAAAAACTCAAACAGTTACAAGAGACCAGGCAGTTAAGCATAATGAGTGAAGAAAACTAGATGATAAATGATAACTTATACTTTGACTCAGTGTCAGGGAGACAATGGAGATTAGTGGGGACTGGGGACTCCGAGTGTGAAGGAAGGAGCTGCTACTCGACCCCTGCTAATTACGTCATGCAAGTATGTGGGCCCTGGCTGCCCAGATCTTCTGATTTTTTAAGATATTGCAAGTCTAGGAGTGTGTGTGAGAAATTTCCTAATTTAAAAATGTTGGCCATGGCCGAGAGCAGTGGCTCGCGCCTGTAATCTCAGCACTTTGGGAGGCCGAGGCAGGTGGATCACAAGGTCAGGATATCGAAACCAGCCTGGTCAACATGGTAAAAAATTAGCCGGGTGTGGTGGTGTAATCCCAGCTACTTGGCAGGCTGAAGCAGGAGAATCGCTTGAACCTGGGAGACAAAGGTTGCAGTGAGCCGAGATCGTGCCACTGCACTCCAGCTTGAGCAGCAGAGTGAGACTCTGTCTCAAAAAGAGAAAAAACAAAAACTGTCCATTAATTGAAATAAAAACAAACAGCATTAGCCAAAAAAAAAAAAAAAAAAAAAAAAAGTGTGTACACTCAAAGCTAGCCCAGGGACCACCATTTTTTGGCTTAAGAAATACCACTATTTCATGCCCAGTTCTTAGTATATTTTAACTATGTCAGTCTTTTTTAATTCACATTCATGGGCATGCATTAGGTGATGCTAAACAAAGAGCCTATGCCTAGAGGAAGACACACAGGAAATAAGGTAGTAAGAATCTATGAATTAGATGCTAAAAGTGCTTCGGTGGCAATCTGGGAAGGCTTCCCAAACGAAATGACTTCTGAAGCTGCTCCTAAAAGGAATGTAGAATCTTACAGAGAGACCAGCCCACCTAAATCCCTCCCTTAGGCTTAATAGTAGAACATATCTGAACCACACAGTTCATTCCTGCGGCTTAGTCTAGGCTCCCCAGCGGGGCTCTGTCACTTCTGGGATGCAGAAACCAGATTGGGTTACATATACAAATGTACCTGGCACAGCGTTGGGCGAGGAATAGGATCAATTTATGTCTGACGGTGAATTCTGGGCCTGGGGCAGATTCCGTTTGCGGTACCCATAGGAGGGAACGGGAACAGGCAAGAGTAAGGGGACGCGCCAGGAAGCGGGGCACACCGAGACGGAGAAGCCAGCCCAGGGCAAGGAAGGCCCAGTCATTCGCACCTGGCGCCTACGTCCTCCTGAAGTCCCCCAGGCTTCTCCCCATCCAGAGGAAGCAGGAGTCTAGGGTCTGCCTCCAGAGCTCTGCTCCATTCCTCGCTCCCTGGAAGACGCAGGCGCCGGGGGGCCCCCAGCTCTGTGAACACAGCGGGGTCTCACCTCCACGCCACCCCCAGCCTCCCGCTCGGTCAGGGCCCCTCCACGGATTCTATCACGTGGTTCCAGGTCCTAGCGCCACCATCTTGGACCCCGCGCCGGGGCCTGGCGAGCACTTCCGTCGCGCAGCTCCGGGGGACTGCAGTCTATCCGGCCTCGCCCTGCGCAGCCGATCCCCTGGCTGCTCCAGCCAATCCGCGCGAGCTCCCCTGGCCGCCTCCCACCGGCTCCGGTGTCTCCTCTGCGCAGACTCCGCCAGGACGCCATTATGTAATTTATTCAGTCTCTAAATATATATGGAGTGCTGGCTCTGTGCCAGGCACTGGTGTTACAATGAATGTTGAGCAAAACCCAAGGCATTCTCAGGGAACTTGAAGTCATGTGAAGGATACATAGAAGCAATTGCATGAATAAATATAAAATGATAACTTGTGAATGTCACACTGGAGAGTGCATGGCACCCTGATTGCTTATGAAGAAAGATTTGACCCACACAGGAAGAACTGTAAAGGCTTTTCGGAATCCAGTTATCCTTGGAGAGAAAGGTGGATGAAGGACAATGAAGTAATAGAAACCCAACTCTAACTTGGGCATCACTTGGCTCAAGTAGCAGGAAAGGCTTCAGAAAAGGCGAGTTCAGGGATTGAAACACCATCATCAGGATTCCTTTTGTTCTCTCCATCTTTCAGTTTTGCTTTTTTCTGTGTTGACTTCATAGAGTTTTCCATCTGGAGATAGGTTTCAGTTCTCAAGATTAAAGGGGACTATCTATAGCAATTACAGAATAAAAAGTGACTCTGATTGGTTCTGCTTAGATCACATGCTCAACCCTAGACCAATCACTGTATCCAATGGATGAGGTACTTTGATTGGTCAGCTTGAATTACATATTGGGATAGAGGAAGAGAGCCAAGTTAGTAAAAGTCCTCAGGTGAGAGAGGTGTTCGTTGTTTCTGGAAAGAAAAGATATTTTGTTAGTTTTTGTTTTTACCAGAAAATGAGACGGCTCTTTGGACAGGTATAGGGATAAGAAAAACCAAAGTGTAAACCTGCCTCAGCCTCCTAATTGCTGGGATTACAGGCGTGAGCCACCACATCCGGCCCCATGTGTGAACTTTTTTTTTTTTTTTAATTGAGGTGGAGTCTTGCTCTGTTGCCCAGGCTGGAGTGCAGTGGCGTGATCTCAGCTCACTGCAGCAACCTCTGCCTCCCGGATTCACACAATTCTCCTGCCTCAGCCTCCGAGTAGCTGGGATTCCAGGCACCCACCACCATGCCCGGCTAATTTTTGTATTTTTAGTAGAGATGGGATTTGGGTATGTTGGCCAGGCTGGTCTCAAACTCCTGACCTCAGGTGATCCGCTCACCTCGGCCTCCCAAAATGCTGGGATGACAGGCCTGAGTCACTGCGCCAGGCCCCCATGTGTGAACTTCTTAGTACGCCACTAGGTGGCAGTGATTTGCAGCCCCTGGTTGTATTAAACAGACATCTTAAATACGCCTTTAGTTTCAGACAATAGAAAAATATGCTTCCTATTATGCAAGAGTCCTATGGCCTTCATGCATTCCTACCCTGTAACTAAGAGTCTAAATCTGTGAAAAGATGTCCATGAGACAGAGTTAAATTGAAACAGCAGGTTGCAGAACAATATTTGTATCTCCTTACTTTCTTCTTTTCTGCCTCTCTCCCTTCCTTCTCTCCTTCCACAAAATTTGACTGAGCACCTAGTGTGTGCTAATATGTGCTAAGTTACTGGAAATACAATGGAGAGCAAAGCAACGCCAATGCAGTGCCCATGGATCTTATGGTCCCTTACTGATAATAGGTTGGTTTCACCTTCTCATTATAACAAACAATACCACAAAGAACATTAGATACATGCACTTGAGTTCTCTAGGGCAGTGGTTCTCAAAGAGTTGTCTGGGCCATGAGACCAAAACTATTTTCGTAATAATTTTTTTTCTTTTTTTTTTTTTGAGATGGAGTTTCGTTCTTGTTACCCACGCTGGAGTGCAGTGGCAGGATCTCGGCTCACCACAACCTCTGCCTCCTGGGTTCAAGCAATTCTTCTGCCTCAGCCTCCCGAGTAGCTGGGACTACAGGCGTGCGCCACCATGCCCAGCTAATTTTTTGTAGTTTTAGTAGAGACGGGGTTTCACCATGTTGACCAGGATGGTCTCGATCTCTTGACCTCGTGATCCACCCATCTCGGCCTCCCAAAGTGCTGGGATTATAGGCGTGAGCCACCGCGCCCGGCCTAATAATTTTTTTTTTTTTTTTAAAGATGGGGTTTCATCATGATGGCCAGGCTGGTCTTGAACTCCTGACCTCAGGTGATCCACCCACCTCGGCCTCCCAAAGTGCTAGGATTACAGGCGTGAGCCACCTTGCCCGGCCATAATAATATTAAGATGGTATTTGCCTTTTTTCATGTTCACTCTTCTCATGAATGTTCAGTGGACCTTTCCATGAGGCTCCATGACATGTGATATTGCAACAGATTGACAGCAGAATCAGATATGAGAATCCAGGTGTTTTCTGTTAAGCCAGACATGAAAGAGATTTCGAAAAAATGTAACATACACAGTGACACTTTTCTCACTAATTTTTTTTGTTTGGGAAAATAGAGTTAATTAATTAATTAATTAATTAATTAATTTTTTTGAGACAGGGTCTCACTCTGTTGCCCAGGCTGGAGTTCAGTGGCATGATGATAGCTCACTGCAGCCTCAAACTCTTGGGCTCAAGTTATCCTCCTGCCTCAGCCTCCCAAGTAGCTGGGACTACAGGTGATTCTCCTGTCTCAGCCTCCCGAGTAGCTGGGATTACAGGCATGAACCACCACACCTGGCTAATTTTTACATATTTAGTAGAGACAGGGTTTCATCATGTTGGCCAGGCTGGTCTCCAACTTCTGACCTCAAGCCATCTGGCCTCTCAAAGTGCTGGGATTACTGGCATGAGCCACCTTGCTTGGCCAAAAGCTAATCTAAAACAAAACAAAACAACAACAACAAAACAAAAAACTCCACCCAACCAACCAAACAAAAACACTGGCTGAGGAGGGCAGATCACTTGAGTCTAGGAATCTGAGACCAGCCTGGGCAACATGGTGAAAACCTGCCTCTACAAAAAATAATTTAAAAAATTAATTGGAAGCCTTTACTAACTTAGAAAAAAAATTAGCCAGACATGGTGGTACATGCCTATAGTCCCAGTTACTTGGGAAGTTGAGGTGGGAGGATGGCTTCAGCCTGGGAGGCAGAGGTTGCAGTTAGCTGAGATTGTGCCACTGCACTCTAGCCTGGGTGACAGAGCAAGACCTGTCTCAAAAAAAAAAAAAAAAGAAAGAAAACAAAGCTATATATCCTTTGTGTTTTTGTTGTTATTGTTTTTACTAAATCTCAAATTGTAAAGAATTGTGAAATTATTTTTATTTTTATTTTTTTGAGACAGAGTCTCTCACTGTTGCCCAGGCTGGAGTGCAGTGGTACGATCTCTGCTCACTGCAGTCTCTGCCTCCTAGGTTCAAGTGATTCTCCAGCTTCAGCCTCCAGAGTAGCTGGTATTACAGGTACCCAGCACCACACCCGGCTAATTTTTTGTATTTATATTAGAGACAGGGTTTCACCATGTTGGCCAGGCTGGTCTTGAACTCCTGAGCTCATGATCCTCCCACCTCAGCCTCCCAAAGTACTGGGATTACAGGCATGAGCCACCACACCCAGCCAAGAATTATGAAATTATTAAGGCAGGCTAGTAAAAGAAAAATAAAGTAGGCTAGTGATACAACAGTGAGTTGGTCTATGAAATATTCATTATCTTTTCTAAACAATACTATGAAAACCAGGGTGATTTTATCTTAAATGTTCTCAGAGGAAGTTTTTCTTGGTCACTAAGAATAGCTTTGTAGAATCAACATTACATGTATCGGAAAATTTATTTTTGCTTGGTGGCTTATGGGAGGTAAAAGTGTATAAGTTATGCAAATAAACCTTTTTTAACATCAGGGGAATTTCATTATTCTTAAATATTACCTTCTGCGATTTTTGTTAAAACCATTTTCCACTACACCTAATTTGTTAAAAAAAAAAAAAAATACAGAGGCATCTAATGTTAAAACAACTCAAAGGCTGTTAGTTTGTAGTTCACTTATAAATGAGAGTTTATTTTAACCAATTTAGAGCTGTTTTTTGATTGTTCATAGAATATTTAAATCGTTCAAGTGTAGCTGATCTAAAACTTTAGTGGCATTACATTTTTTTATTTTTTATTTTTATTATTTTTTTTTAAAGATGGGGTTTCACCATGATGGCCAGGCTGGTCTTGAACTCCTGACCTCAGGTGATCCACCTCGGCCTCCCAAAGGCCTAGGATTACAGGCCTGGCCCATGGCATTAAATTTTGACAATGAAATATGTTGATCAGGCCAGGCGCGGTGGCTCACACCTGTAATCTTAGCACTTTGAGAAGCCGAGATGGGTAGATCACCTGAGGTCAGGAGTTGGAGACCAGCCTGGCCAATATGGCAAAACTCTATCTGTACTAAAAATATAAAAATTAGCCGGGCGTAGTGGTGGGTGCCTATAATCCCAGCTACTAGGGAGATTGAGGCAGGAGAATCACTTGAACCCGGGCGGGGGGCGGGTGGTTGCAGTGAGCCAAGATTACACCACTTCACTCCAGCCTGAGCGAAAAAGCGAAACTCCATCTCAAAAAGAAAAAAAGAAATATGTTGATCAATATGAAAGGTTGAGTTTTACAGTTAAGGGGCAAGTGCAGTGATATTAATTGACTCTCTGACAGTAGTTTGGCACATAGTTAAGTGCACATTCTCCTCTAGTAAAATGAAGTTCGACCACAGTCAACAGTTACCTGTCTATTTATGCTGGAGGGTGTTTAGCAACCAACTGTTAATTTAAGTGAGGTTCCATTCTGCCACTTAGCCATGATAGAGCATACAAATGGGCACTCAGGGAAAGCAGAGAGTATAGGTTACACACAGAAGCACACTGCAATTCAGGAGACATGTCCACCAGAAATAATACTATGATGCAACATACATCACAAAAACAAATGGAAATTGTTTCATTTTTGTTTGTTTGTTTGAGACATAGTCTCGCTCTGTCACCAGGCTGGAGTACAGTGGCAATCTCTGCTCAAGGCAACTTCTGCCTCCCAGGTTCAAGCGATCCTTCTGCTTCAGCCTCCTCAGTAGCTGGGATTACAGGTGCACGCCACCACTCCCAGCTAATTTTTGTATTTTTAGTAGAGACAGGATTTCACCATGTTGGCCAGGATGGTCTCAATTTCTTGACGTCATGATCTTCCCGACTTGGCCTCTCAAAGTGCTGAGATTATAGGAGTGAGCCACCGAGCCTGACTGGAAAAATTTTTTTAATCTGTCTTTAGGGAATTATCTAGCTATTAGTGGGATTATTTGGGGGAACTGTATCCTTGACAGAAAAGATGGTTCACTGTATTCATTTGTCATAATAACCAGACTCCTGCCAGTTAGTGGGTTCTAAAGTTGTTGATACAGGCATGAATAGATTTTAATGTGGAGTTCTGTAGGGAGGGTCCTTTCAACAGGAAGATAAACCAAAATTGTTGGTCTTAGCCTTTTGGATTACCGACTTTATCTGAATCTCTTTAGAGAGTCAAAATTGGCGGAGTGTGGTGGCTCCTATAATCCCAGCACTTTGGGAGGCCAAAGCAGGTGGATGGCTTCAGGTCAGAAGTTCAAGACCAGCCTGGCCAACATGGTGAAATCCTATCTCTACTAAAATACAAAAATTTGCTGGGTGTGTTGGTGGTGGGCACCTGTAATCCTAGCTACTTGGGAGCCTGACGTTGGAGAATAGCTGGAACCTGGGAGGTAGAGGTTGCAGTGGGATCGTGCCACTACACTCCAGCCTGGGAGACAGAGTGAGACACTGTCTCAAAAAAAAAAAAAAAGAAAGAGTCAAAACTTAGAAATCATCCAACTCAACTGTTTATTTGATAGAGTTATATGGGAGCTAGGGAGGATCAC